TTTAAAAGTAATCCATAACTCGATAAATTCATAACAGAAACATCGGTTATTCTGATATATTTTCTCCCGGTGGTGCAACAAACAGTAGAGCTTTAAAAGCCGAGGAAAGAAGACGGATATTAGTCTGTAGGACGTGTTGGGGGGACTTTTCTGGTTTGCTCCATAATAATTAATCATTACAATATATCAAATCAACCTCGTTGCAGGAAATTGCCTCATAATTGTGCAGTCAGCCCTGAGTCAAACATGTTGACAGCTTGACGTTTTGGCTTCATGCACTGAGGGGAATCTGAGCAGGCAGACGGATCGAAACCTAAAACTGGTGCAGGATCCAGCAGACCCTGAGAACACAGACTGGCCTTCAGATTCAGTTAAAAGAGTCATAAATCTGCAATATTTCTCAGTGCAGTCGCTGCATGCATTTCTTTTTTTTTAATCCATTATTAAAATCTAATATTATTGATAGAAGCAGCCAGTGAGGCAGAGTTTGGTGCAACAGAGAAGCCAAACTGCGGCGGCTTCGTTGGTTCTTCTGGAGAGCAGCAGATCTGTTCAATTTTATTCTGGCTGCTGTTTCTCTGCTGCTGATCATCTTTGTGAAGGGAAGTTTGGCTCAGAAACCTTTATGTAGGTGGACGATTTTACACAAACCGTTACAGAGGGATGGAGGAAACATTCAGGGTGTGGATGATGATAAGATTCAGACTGCAGCTTCCTGCTTTCGGCCAAAAGTTTTATCTAAGTGACCAACACAAAGTGTCGAATCTTAAATGTACATGTGACATATATAAAAGAAATAGTTTGAAATATTTCCACCTAAAGAAAGCCAGCAGACTGCACTGCTGACCTGCAGCACTCACTCCTCCTATACCAGCAGGGGGGCGACAATCGCTTGATTTTACAGCAATCCTTTAGACCAAGAAAGCATGTTGTAGTAGTGGAGAGGAAAAACTCCCCTTTAACAGGAAGCCACCCCTCAAAGCACCTAATGAACTGATAGGATTGTATATTTTTTGTACCCATTAAAAAGTAAAACATAGTTAACGATCTGAAACATTGAAAAGTGACAAGAACTAAAAACTTCAGAAATCTGCTTGGGGTCAAAGATTTTTCAGAGCACTTGATGCAGGAAAGCGTAATTCTTTTTATTCGTTTAATCCCAGCAAGTTGAGAACGTGAAGCTTCTCGAACACGAGCTGTGCGTAAAAACTCCCTCTGCTCCCTGTTAAATTTTATTCCAATCATAACTTTTTTATGGCGTGCACTTGACTTCCACTTTATTAATGATGCTGTCCTGCTTCCAGCTTCCTTAACGCTGTCAAACTCTTGGGCTTTGCGAAAATATTAACATTTTACTCAGATTTTTTTTTTTTTTTTTTAAAGAATGCTCAAAATTTAAAATAAAACCTGAAATGATTATGAAACCGAGACTGGAGAAGTTTAACAGCATGTCTCTCATGCTGCTATTACCTGAATAAATCAGTGGACAGCAGTCGGCCAACACGTCCCGGTAAAGAAGGAGCCGTGTCCTAAGCTGCCTTTCCATTGATAAACGGAGATTATAATGGAACAGACTAGAGTGAATATTGACATTTCAATAGCAGAAACACGTCCCTGCGGCTGCGCCGTTTCTTGTTGCAGTGAGAGATGACCTTGCTGAATATATCTCTTGGAAAAACACCGATAGGGCTCCAGTAGCTTGGGAAATTGAACCCGTGTTATAAAAGGGAAAGCATACAGGCTGACAAGCAAACACTGTATGCGCGTGATTGATTCAGTCACTTATCTGAGCTGTGCTCGGCGTGCGGCGCGTGTGAGGCTGCGCGCACATGCGTGCATGCATGCCGGCGTGTGTTTAAAGAGCCTGTCTGTCCACACGTGGATAAGGCTCCTTGTGTTTAACCGTGGCGGCGCTCGGCCCACCTCGCTCCCCCCCCCCCCCTGTCCTATTGATTGGCACCCAGAACCGACACGTGAGGCGCCCGTGCAGAAAAAAGAAGCCTTTTCCGCAGGAACCAAACAACAGGACCTTTGACTGCACAAAATATTTTTTAGCCTTGAGGTCTTTAAAAAAAAAAAAAAAGTTACCTTTCAGCTCGGCAGAAGACCATTTTCAAACACTATCTCTTCTCTTTTTTTTTTCTTTGCTAATCAATGTGACTGCAGCAAGCTTTTATTAGCTGTAGGGCATTATAGGGCAAAATCCAGTTTTCTATTGTTACGATGCTCTGCTATCAGTTCCCTCAGTAGCTACGTAAAGGGCATATATAATATCACCTTTATGACTAATTAATTTCAGGATTGCACCTGATGAAAATTATAGGTTAGGTTTCCATTAAAGGACCAAACGCGTTGCAACCGAGGGCGCTTCAGAAGCTGGCCAAAGAGCAGATCAGAGCAGTACAATCCACGCAAGAAGTTATAGAAAAATCTGCACCTTGAACTGATGTTTGAAACGTTTATGTTCATCAGGAATAGGCCAGTGAGAAGGAAGAATGCTGGGAAGCCAAATTCCAGTAGAAGTAATATCTGCTCCTGTTCTGACTAGCATTTTTACTCTGATTTGAACAGGAGAACGTTGGAGTTTACCTCCAAACAACTGTTCCATAAAAACCCTTTATATTATACTTTCATATTACTATATTACATTATTAGTGGGATCCACTGGCTAAAAAGTTAGTTCTACTACTGCAACACCACAGCTAACAGAAGCTAATGCTAAAGCGCTAACTTAAGTTCAGATTACATCTGCCCTTGAAGAGTACAACCCTCAGGCCCCAATTTAATTTTAATACAATGTGCATGTTCTATAATGCCCTTAGATATTGTATTTATTTTTGTTCCTGCATGTTTCTTGTTTTAACTAAAGTTATTTGTAAAAATAACAACGTTGTCAGAAAAAGTTACACATGCCATCAGACTTCAGATAAAACAGCCAAAATCCACAACGAGGATCAGTCTGCATCAATAATCAATGTTTATTTCCAACATGGAAATATAAAGATCAGTAAATATTGGTTATTGGCCATAAAATTGTATATACATATTTATCCAATTCTTCTATTGATCCATCCAACATGTAAATTTTTTGAAAATGTTGTGTTTTTCATTGTACCACTGAGATGGAGAAACAAAGATTAACAAAGATTGTTTCTTTAAGGACCAAGGCAGATGTGCTCCCTTTGCACTCCCATTATCACAAAACTTGGCTTACATTTCTAAGATATTTCCATCTTTTTACATACTTTACCTAATCATTGTGAACTTTTAATGAACGCTATTATGAACTAACATCATCACCTAAAGGTTTCAGCATTCCTCTAAGCCAAAATAAACCATCTGGGGCATCAATTGATTTCTCTAATTGACTCCTAATTAACTACAAAAAACATGTTAAAGTGACTTTAGGGACTAAATATCTCAGGATTAACCATAAACATTAATGACTTCCTGACTCTACGAAAAACGGCTTTGCTAATTAATCTAAAGTCCAAAACTCATCAACGCGTTTGAAGCGGGTGGTTCAAACCTTGCAGGCAGTCTGCTGGCAGCGCCATCCTTACTTTCTCTACTCCCTCTGAAGAACTGCAGCCGTTGGCGAAGAGTTCAAAAGGGTAAGCGAGTCAGATTTGGCTGCCGCCGCGCTCATTTGGCTCCGCCGGCGGTTCAGTCAGCAGAACCAGAGATCCGAGATCAACCTGAACGTCGACGAGACGGCTTATTAAAGCCTCCAAATTAGAAGTTTCTTTTAAAAACGCCACAGAAACATGAAAGGAGTTCACCGGTTGTGGGGACAGAAACTGGGCACGGATTTGGTTCCCATGTTGAGGACAGAAGGGCCAGAGACGGGCTGCTGTGAGGCTTCTGATTGGTGGACGCACGGTGGAGAGCAGCTGCAGGCCTGGTTTGTGAATTTGTTACAAAAATGTCTTTAGCGCTCTTATTTATTGTCCAGTTTCTATCCATAGTGGCTTTAATTAAAGCTGAAATGGCGTTCTTGGACTGTGTGCATTCTTCCATAAACAGTTTGGTTTCTTTCACGTCGCTAAAGAGAACTAAAATAATGTAAATTTCATACAACACAATTTATTTAATTTTGCAAATTTGTTGCTGTGCTTTTATCCAATATTCTACAAGCAAACAGCTCTGGGAAGGTTCCACCACAGCATTTCAATTGGGTTGAGGTGTCTAGACTTTGACTGGACCATCGCAACAGTTTGATCTTCTTTTAAGAAATTTTGTGTCAGACTTCAGATTCATTTATGTAGATAAAATAGATACATTACACATTTACAAGTATTAGGGGCAGACTAAAATTAGTTTTGTTTAAATTTACGAGGAAAAAGGCATAATACCACTAGAATAAAGTTGTAAAAAATGTTTAAATGAGAACATAGTTATAGTTATCAACTATACCTATCATAGTTATTAACATCCGACTTGGTCTGTAAAGTGTCTGACTGAAGATATCCCGATGTGGAGACTTTGTCAAGATCATTTTGGCACAAATTTGTGATGTGTGTCAATATAAGCAGCTCATATCAGCGGGGCATAATATTTAAAAAAGAAATCACTTAAAAACAGAAAATCTGTGATGTTTTGGAACTGAAAAGAACCTGAATCAGAAAATTGATTTTTATTTTCAGTTTCAAATCAATTTTTTAGTTAAAAAAAAACTTTTAAACTCAAACTCAAATTTTCTGCCTTCAATTGAGCGGCATAGATGACAGACCTCTTGTTTTATCAGATGAAAACTGTGATCACATCTCAATACGGCTGAAGTTAAAAGAGCAAACAGCTTCAATATCAAAGCTTTAAGGATTAAAATTTAGCAATTATTTCTATTTGTTATGTTTTGATTGGATTTTCTTGGTTTTTGACACTTTTGGTTTCCCAGACCAGAAGGCGACAGGAAGCCTGAGTTAAACAAGTGAAGGAGGACAGCTGGAATGTAGGAAGCTGTGACCAGGAGGAGAGGAGAACATGCAGGAAGGGCTTACCTGGTTCCTGTGCAGCTCCTGAGGTGGAAGGGTCAGGCAGGTGGAAACAGGTTGGGGAGGGGCGAGAAACACAAAACAGAAAGGGAGATTAGCACCGAAACGCCTGCTTAAGGTTGACTCACACTAACACAGCGGAGCATGCTGGGAAAGAACACGAGAAACAGGAAATGGGTCAATTCACCTCTTAGAGAAGAAACATTAAAATATCAGGGAGTTGCTGGAAACAAAAATAACGTTTCAGCTTCGAAAGACACACATCTACATTCAGCATCATTCTGAGAAGTCGCTAATCGCAGGGGGAAACAGAGCAACCAGCTAAAGCTCCTGTGGGATCTTACCAGGAAACAAACCTTTTACAGCCAGATGAGGCTCAATTAAGTTGCCATTCCAGTCATCATTTTAGCTAATAGCTTTCATACATAGTTTGGGGGCTTAAACATGAATACCGCTCCATTAAACTGAAACTGCGCATGTCCATCAAGTCCCACTCAAAAGTTTAAATGTTCTGCTGCTAGGCAACAACTCCAGGAAGTCTTTGCTCCGAGCCGAAGAAATCTGCAACACACAGACCCCCACCCACCCCCACCCACCCCCACAAAACAGGATCGCTTCTCAGCTTCTGGGCGGCTTTCCTTGGTGGTTTTAATCAGATGACCCGCTTTATGTTTTTTTTATGTAAATATTCTCATTAAATGTAGGGAATAAACACAAAAACAACCAAATATTGTTTGTTTCCCAATAAAATTTAAAAATGTAAAGTCTTCTTTCATGCTCAGTATTTATTTAAAATCGTGACATCATCCACCTTCAGCCAGTTCGACCACATCATTTTAAAATGACTTGCATTTTTGTTTAGATCACATTAAATCAGATTTACATATAGACCTAAAAAAACCTCAGTAAAGCATAATAAAATAATGGAAAAAAATAATTCTTCAAATTCCTTTAAATGCAGAGACAATGGACATATTTTTATGATGTAAAGTATTAAAATCTTCATTTAAAAGCAACAAAATAAGATATGTGACAGCAGAAAATCTAAAACCTGAGAATTCATAAATGACAGAAGCAGAAAAGCATCGGCGAAATCCCCATGAGCCGAGGCGTCGGTCCAACATGGGCGAGCAAGAGAGAGGGAGAGAGAGAGCTGGCCTTTGGTACAGTCTGGCAGCCATTTAGGCCCTCATCATAGAGGAACAGTCTTCAGCCAAGGAAGCATCAGGATTCCAGCTAAGAGGCAGCTTTTGATTAGAAAACCTATTTCCTCTTCAAGTTTTGCCAAATTTCAATCATGGTGATATTCTAATTACCATTATCCGAAGCAAGAAAGGGATTCAGAGACTGAGTAGGAGTGATGGAGAGGAGGAGGAGGGAGAGGAAGGCTGCCTTTGAAGAAAACTGAAGGATGAGAAAGAAACAAGAAAATTCAATGAAATAATGAGGATAAATTATTAGACAGGGACGTGAAAAACTATCAAGCCCCTTAGAAGTGTTTCAGATAATCAAATAGATTTTAATGTAGATAAACTGAGCAAATACAAAGCACAGTTTTCAAATGATGAATTCATTAGATGAATTATTAGAGACCAGCATGAGCATATGTGGAAAAATAATTACAACCATTAGTTACCTTAGCTTGAAAAAGAGTTTCACTGCTGACACTCAGATAATGATTAATGCCTACATTGATCCAATGTAACCCCAATCCAACCCTGATCTGATCTTGATCTAACCCTGATTTAACCTTGATCCAACCCTGATTTAACCTTGATCCAACCCTGATTTAACCTTGATCCAACCCTGATTTAACCTTGATCCAACCCTGATCTGACCTTCATACAACCCTGATCTGACCTTCATACAACCCTGATCTGACCTTGACTCAATCTCTCAAAACATTGTGTTATAATTTATACACATTCAATAACAGTTTAGAAACAGTTTCTATCATCCATTAGTGTGGAAAGAGTTACAGGAACCATCTCTTAGGCTTTTGGACTCCAAAAACCCACTTAGAACTTTATTCACACGTGGAACCATGGAGAACCTTCCAGGAGAGGGCGACCCACTAGACCTGCTCCAAGATCTCATCAAATGTGCTGGAGGTCCAGCACATCTAAAGCTCTGCAGGACTCACTGCCTCAGAAAAGGTCAGAGGTCACTAATCGACAATAAGAAAGATGGCAATAATGGTCTCTTTGGAGAGTTCCGAGGCCAGAACTGCTGCTGTCTCAACAGAACGCAAAGACCCGACTCACATTTACCAGAACACATTGCAAGTTGTGCATCCTGTTACAGCTGGAGTAGAAGTCATGACACATTGAGGGAAACTCTGACCTCAATATGAGTAAATACACACCATCTTGGCACGACCAGACAAGCTAAAGTCTACAGTCTTCTTTATTTTTCACTCTTGGGGTTACAGCCAATCAGAGCTAAGGAAAATAAATGGCGTTCTTGGATTGGCTGCTTCACAGCTTATAACGTGAAGTAGCATGGTGCGTTAGGCTTTTCAGCTTCCCAAGCTGCATTCTCTTTAGATTATTTTACACATGGTCCAAGAAAAATCTGAGAATTGGAAAGTTTTACACAAATAATTTGGAGGAAAAATTCATAATTATTGATCCATGATTAGGTGTGGGTCCACTGTAATCGTTTGAAAACTGTGTTTTGTTATTTTGTCTGTTTGAGGACAAATATGTCCCCAAGTCACATCCTTCTCTATGACATGTTAATCTGCAAACTTATTTACCTATTTATGCCTTTAGATAATTAATCCTCTACCCGCTTTGTGTTTGATAAGTTGTAGAAATTTCAATCCATGCATCCTGAATTCAGTCTGGTGAAATCCCTCGACTTCCCGGCTCTAACGCGGCGCTTATTCTGCTCGACAAAATCTTGATTGAGTTTGACAGCCTTCAGTTTCACCAGAAAAGCTTTTACCAAAGCTCCAGCACTCACCAGAAGAGTAAACTGCTAAGTCTCTCTGCAACGCATCAGTAGTCTCCTGCTTAAGCATTCAAGCAGAGTACACAGAGAGCGGAGTAACAAAGTGCTTCAGAGAGAGCCACCGATTCAACCCGGACCACCCTGGAGTTCAGGTTCACGCGGTGTGATGCGGAGGGTTTGCTGTGGGGAGATTGAGCAGCAACAGGCCAAACACGGAGCAGCCGTCCCCATGTTAAGCAAATGGAGAGCAGGTGAAGAATAACTGCATGGCCGCTCTGCCCCTCGCGGGCCTTGTGGGAGCTTTTCGCTAACCCACCCCGACCCGCAACCTCCAGAGGTGAGGTTAAATGACAAGGACTGCAGAGATGCATTAAACATGAATCATTTGGACACAGAGCCAGGCGCTGGCCCACTCCAGAGATGATAGGGACATTAACCAGGGCTTCACCAGGGCCTGAGCTGCATTTAATGAAGGCCTCCACGACACCCAATGTCTCTCTACACATTTGACTCACAGCCATGAAGGCAAATAGTTTAAGATAAACACTTCCACTTCTCTATCTGCCGCTTCATCTAGATGTAGTTAGCGGTTATAGAGATTGACGTAATCACAACCAAAACAAGGGTGAGGACAGACCAGAAGGGCTGTTTCCCATCGTTAGAGATAGAACCACGTTTGTCTGAGGCCTCAGGAGAGATTCCAGTCTAAAGGTTTAAAAAGTCATGGTTTCTAAACAAGCAAAGCTTTTCATCATGACTCAGCTACAATTTAAACGTTTAAACTGTGAGCTGTGTAGGGTGAGATGGTTATAGTTTTTGAGGAATCTATGACATTAAAGGTGACAACACTGTTTGAACAAAATCGATTTACAACAGCTAACAAGTGGCTATCACGTTTAGCATGTGTGTTGGTGCTGTAAATGCCCTGCTGCATCATGGATAATTAGCAATCTGTCAAACAGCACATGCTACTTTCTGCTGAGTGATTTTACACTTACAGAAACCGGCTACAGCAAGCTACAACAATCAGCCTATCACATTGGTCCAATGCACAACTACAAAGGCTCACTCCCACAGCAGCTAACCTGGCTAATCAACAGGCTAACTTTGACTTAACTGCAAACCTGTTAAAGTCCAAAAAGGAGTTTAGCTACTGATCCAATCATGAAGTTATTATTGTACATAATAATAAACTTTACTTGAATAGTACTCAGTGGTACTATTCAAAGTTAAATGAACTAATCATAAACATTAGTTCCATTAATGATAAAATGTTACACCAACACAATGGGGCTGGGTTTTTTTTTTATCCTAAAATGTAATAACAGTAGAAAATGAGCAGATTAAACCTACTGCTAATGAATCAGCTGATTTTTAAAAGAAACTGGTTCTTCCAAGTGGCCTTGCTAAACAAACCAGACCTCCTGCCATCTGCATCCATTATGTAAGGCCTGGCGACTCTCTCCTTCACTGGAAGCACAATAACAAAGACTTCCTTCAACACGCCACACTCCCAAACGCGTCATCTTCAATCGTCGCTCTTGGTTAATGGCCTGGAACGCACAGTCAGTGTCCATCAAAGAGGGACGTTGTCGGGATGGATGCACATGCTGACAACCTTTCTCTGCTGCTCCTCCATCTCCAACACACCGTCCCCGTCTCACTCCCTGCAGTCGGTTTAAGTACAGCAAGCAATAACATGTTGATTAAATCTGTGATCAGCTGCCCAAAGGGCATGAAATTGGACATGATGAGTGTGACACATTAAAAACTAATTATCAATCGCAGCGACCCTACTGCCTTTCTTTTAAAGCCGCGGCACATCGAGTGTGGAAATCGTTGCACTGTTTGCTGCGTCGCTGTGAGCTCGAAGGTTACAACCGTACCTGGATCCCCTCTGGCTTCAAAGCATTGTGATAAAATATTAAACTGTTATTTACGGCCTACAGCGTTTTCTTATTATGTAGCTAACACAGGATCAGGAGACAGGAATGCCGCCAGCAGGGGTTTAAGTAATTACGGTTTGCCTCTCCTGCACATGTCTCTATTATTATTTTGTCTCTGTGAAA